GGCCAGGCAAGATTTCAGATGGCAGCACAAATATGGGAACACGATTAGATAGACAGAATTAATATTTTGTCGATCCTTCACACTTCTGACACGCCTAAACGTATACTTAACATAAGCATATTGCTGGTATATAAGGGGAACACCAGCAGACCAACTACAACTTCAGTTTCCTCAACAATTGAAGCAACTAGAATTGCGTAGTCCCATCCTTGTAGTTAGGAAAACTAAATTCGAACTGAAATACCATTTTAATCTTCCGCCACATACAATCCTTCCAAGAGAGGACTGGCAATAAGGACTAATAAGTCAAAAGAAGGCGTAACAAGAAGGATTTTTGATTTTCTATGTGTATGGTGTGTAAGTAATGACTATTGGGTCAGCCAACGCCGTTACTTGAACCTGCTCGCTAATCGGTGCAGGACGTCCGTCAATAGCATACATCCAGTAAAAATTGAAGGCACAGAACCAATGAAACTCAAGCAACATATGCTCACGTAGTATCAGTAATGCACGTGGCTAATGAGCGGTAGTGGTGGTGGAGCGTGATGAGGAGAGGTTAGGTTGAAGAGCACAAGGAGGAGGATGACAGGAGAGGATTATCTCACACCAACAGGGGGCAAAAGGAACGCATCATTTTGGCAACGAGACTGGTCGTGTGAAGCAAATGCAGACGAAGGGTGAGAACAGGTCGATCCACGATGAAAGAGGACGTCGAGGATGAGAGATTCGTCGGAGAAGGAACTGTTTGGCATAGATAGTTGCTGTGGCAAAAAATTCGGATGGTTTTGGTTGCTGTCGGTGTGGAAACCAACAAGGGCTGACAACTGCGAAGTCACAAGGCGAGCAGAGGTGGTCAGCTGGTCAAAATCGTTGTGCGGGTCAGCAGACGGACCGGTGACGATGGTAGAGGTTGGCGGCTGTGAAACAGCCAAGAAAGCTGCTGCAAAGACTGTTACAGCCTGGATGCAAGGAAATAGATTTTACGTGAAAGACCCCCATACGGAAACAGAATAAGTTACTACAGGAAAATCGGAATTAGAAAACACTCGTTTGGTAGGATGAAAAGCGGCTAAAAGAACGGCTAATAGACACAGGCAGGCAGAAGGGGTGCTGCCAGCGAACACTGTGAAGGATGTTGAATAGGACGTGAAACAGTAAATTCGATGAAGCAGCAGAAGGTCGAGATGATGTCCACTTACAAAATAACAAATTTGAGATTGTGACTGGTGGGATTAGACTATTAGCTCGCAATATAGACTGAAACAACTACCTATGTCTGATAAGAATCATAACACTACTGGCATTTATAAAGTCCCAGCGAGCAACAGCGTTTACATGTTCATTAAACTTGCATTAAAGAAAGTTCATAAGTTGCCAAGGTTGGACAGGTAATGTCGACGTTTTGTTGGAAAAAAGCTAGAAAATATTAACAAAACGCAGTAAAGCGTTTGATAAAGAGAGAAATTTATTTAACACCTTACCTTCGCTAGAGGCCACTTAGGATTAAGTCCGCTGGGAAAATGACAATTAGCAGTTGTTCTCGATTTCGCGCAGGCCTCTGGAATGGTCGTTGAGCTAGCATTGCGACCCTCATGGGCAATAGGAGGTCTGTTACTGGAATGTGCCTGACAGGTTTTTATTGAGAGGTACCGGGACACAAACGTGGCAAACTCTGCCTTTGATACAAAGAGGCACCAATCGAGCGAGTACAGAAATCGAACTTCCAGGCGATTTAGTGACTTCAATTCGAGATTGAATTCCGTCGCCCAGTCGACGTTGCAGAATGCCTCTTCGGTATCCGTGTCATGAAGGTACTTAGAAGCCGCCATCTGAGACAAAAAGGCGAATTTGTGAAGGTCAATGTTTGCATAAAAAACGCTTAAATGGCCGATGATAATGGTATCCGTGTCATAAAGACAGGCTAAATATGAATATATGTTAGCGTTGGAATACGACATCAAGAAATCTAACTTCCCCATCACCTTTGGTGTGAGCCATTCAACAACTACAACATGAAACCATGGATGTGAAGATATCATATAAATTTCGCATAACAGTCTGCGAAGTAAATAAGATCCTAGTTTCCAGGAAGGTTAACTCTTTAAAAAATTATCCTCCCGAACAAAAATGTTTGCACAAGACCTGGAGCTTTTAATCAAGGCAAGAAACATTTGATTTGTACGGTAGTCTGAGTTTCGGCCGAAATCTTATTACAGACAGCAAAAGTTATTAACGAGAAAGCCAATAGAATAACAATACTGAAATGCATGAAGTGCAGTAAATCACACTTCCAACGTAACTATAATGAAAAAACGTATACTTTATTCAAAAAGACGACACAAGTTTTGAAAGTACAAGTGTTGTAAACTTCAGAAAGCACCAGCCTGTGCGGTGAAAGGTCGCATTTTGACTTGAAAAGCCTGGTGAAAGAGCGGCGTTTAAATACCAACTGAGAAGAATAATGACGCAAAGTATTATAGAGTACAGAAAACCTACAGAATGGACAACTAGACAGGATGTTTAATTATATTTGACCAAAAATCAAAATAAGGATCAACGATAAACAACACAAACCGTTGCAACGATGAGAAGTTCGGTTGCGGTAATCTCCGAGAAGAGCCGTGGTTTCGGGTTCAGGTTTTTGAATTTCTCAACGAATATTAGAGCTGTCACTAGAGTGGCGGGCGAGACTTTACTGCAACTACAGGAATTAAAGTTCGTAAACAGTCGTATTACCTTATAAATTCCGAGAGTGAGTATGGATCCAGGGTTCCTAGCTGTCGCTTAGTTGCTGAGTTCACGAGTCTGAGTATTGTTTCTAGGAGGGAAAAAATTGAATGTCTCGTAATTTTTTTTAGATTAGTTGCCCACAGGCTCAAAAGACCGTACGATGTTCGAGGCAACTGCTCTAGTACCGACGAAAGCTCAACACTTCTGATCAAGGCGGAAGTTGGGTTCCTATTTGCGATCCAGGGGAGTAGGATCAGAATTGGGGAACATGCGTGGTGCCAAAACTACGACACTACAATATATTTTAAAGGATTATAATTCAGACACTTGAGCAATTCAAGTTAAGCCCGCTTTACCTCAGAGCATAATCCATGGTCATCCAGGCAACGTGCTATTAACATTGCTAAATTACTTGCTCCATCGCCTGACTGATTTAGGAATATTGACGATTATAAGCAATTACCTTCGCAAACAACAACCGAGGAAATTTCCCCACATGCATATTCATAGTTAATTGCAAAGGAATACATCCTTGTGTTGCCACCAATGCTGACTGTGGCCGACTTTCCTTCACGCCAAAGCTGTTCTGTTAATACTAAGGATTGTACCTTGTATGTCGCCGCAATCTCTGTCTTGTAGTGGATTCAGAGTTTATCTTCCAACGTCAGAGAGGTATAGCTGCATAATTACTTCTTTGAGCTGAAGAAATTGCAGCGAGCGGCGGACAAATGTAGCGGCCTACGAATTCCAGAGGGTTGTTTGAATGTGTAAAGGTTACTTTTCGTACTGATACCGGATGAGAATGGTGCGATCGTTTGTCGGCGAAAAGGACTGGTGTTCCTTGCCTCACTACAGCTGACCTCACCCCTCCCTACTGTTAACGTATAGTTTCTCATGTCTCCTATCGTCAGCACCTCCCCGACCCTCGCCCACAGCTGCCGATAGCTCTGCAATCCCCACAGTTATCCAACTGACAGTTATTGACCACATATCACTTCAAATGGATATTTGGTACAGGACCTTGTTAATCTCTTGCATCTATATCTTCCCCTCCTTACTATTCATCCATTACTTTATTATAACAGATTTGATAAGTTACTAATTTTTTTCCTTTTACGTCCCTATATGTGTATCTATTGTGGTGTCTAACAACTCGGTCCAGTATTAAATAATCGAAGGGCTTTACGAGTGATCGATTTTATCGGATGTGTGTCAACCACAACATTTCACGCCGTTATACAACCTATCGCCCGCTCACTTAGAAGTCACTAAATAACTGAAGGATAACTACGTTAAGCAACAAGCTCAGCGCCCATTTAACCAATTAGGAGACCGTTTCCTTCACATCCATAGGCGATTTTTGCACACCTGGGAAAATCACTGGTGACTGGCGTAGTTAAACGAAATGCCTGTAGTATTCGAAACGCCAATATACCGAACAGCTCGATATTTGCCACATACTCCGAAAAGTGCAGGCCAGATCTGGGACGACTACGAACATGTTCCGTAAAAAACCGGTCAATACTGCCCCACATCTAGCACCGGAACCCTCCAGCAGAGTCTTTGTAAGCTATACTCTAATTTCTTCTACTACTGATCTTGCGAATAGGACCCATTATAAAGAGAGAGAAAGTAATGAACAAAGTTCTAAATATACATGTGCTTAAAAATTAATTTTACTGGCCTGTTCATTTGACTTGTACGCGTATGCTATCCTATTATTGCACACCTTTCCTATCCC